GGCCCCATATCGGGTCTGGACACCGTGCTGAAGAGAAAACTCTTGCCTCTGCCAGGAATCAAACCTCGACCGTCGGCCACTTAGCCTGTCGCTGTGCAGACTGTTGGTTAATGCATTTTTAGGAACTGGTGAGTGTCTGTTCTCATAGAAGGCATATAAATGTAATATCTGGGCAAAATTAAGAGTTCATTTTAATATTAATGTTATATATATAGTCTTCATTGAGCTGTAAGTGATTAGCTTACAGCAATAGTCTCTTTAAATAGTGCTCTTCAATTCTGGTGCAGTTTGGAACTGAAAGCGGTAAAGAGCCACGTTTAATGCCAGTCAAAATATAGGCTACTAATTAGTGTCCCACACCACACGTTGAAAACCACATTATCGTACGGAAGAATGCTACCTAGAAAGTCAGTTAAGCAACAGTGCTGAAAGTGGCTTCTGGAAGGTAAGTAGATCGAATGTACTCCGAGATCAGCCAAATCGATTGTAAGTGTTGGCGGTTTTCCTCAGTCGCCTCTGAAGTCAAGAATGGTGGAGCTGCACCTTCATTACTCGATACGTCCTAATTAATTAAGTACAGGGATAATTTTGTCTTTTAGTCCTCTACGTAAGCTCCGACAGTGAAGGTACAAGCCAGGCATCTGCCTCCCTCCCTTGATTAAAGAAATCAGAATTGAAGGAAAGGCATACAAAATATTAATAACAGCAAGAACTTCTGGGAAGAACTAATCCCGTACTCCCCATTTACTGTAATTTCCATATCTGATACGATAAACACAAAGCACTAGTACATATGCGTAATGAGGTCAATAAAACGGTACAGTTTGGGAGGTATCGGTGTTGGTATTACTGATCTGAGTGATTTACGAAGCACACCGTTGAGATGCCCTCAGATGGTATGATATACATACCAGGTTTCATGAAGATTGGTATAGGTTTTGCTTCAGAAATTTGAGAGGTCGTAATGTTGGTATTACTGATCTAAAGTATTTATGAAGTGGATCGTTGAGATGGGCTCAGGTGTCTAGATACACCAAATTTCATAACTATTGGTTCAGCCAATTCAAAACATAGTGGGGATATATACATACAGACACAGCAGGATAATCTCATAAGTCAAATTTTATTTTTTTTAAATAAGGGAAATATGGTGAAAAATATTATTTAGGCCATTCAAAATGATTGAGACAAGCCTGATTAAAATACGACGCATAACGGAAATGTGACAGTTTCAGGAATGGTCGACGTAGTCTCCCTGTAGTTATGCATCGACGCCATCGTTGTGGAAACTCATGTTGTCCTCATGGGACCAGTCTTTTGGCCTAGTGCGACACCACTGGTGCACAGCACCATGCAGAATGTCTTGCCTCTTAAAAGCTCCTCCACTTTGTCGAAGAGATCGTAATCTGAGGGAGGCTTGCCGCTTGAACTGTGCACTGCCATCTTTTGGCGTTCTGTACAACTAACACATACTCTACCGATTACCATCGTCAGCTACAAAATTCTTGTCACCACTTCCGAATAATGCTCTTTGTCTCAATCACTGTTGAATTGGGAGGACCGTGTAACCAAGTTAATCCATTTGAGCCCATGTCTCTTTGGAGCAGTGTGGGCGAACTTTGTCTTGCAACAAGAACATTTCTTGGTCCACATGCCCTTCCTCTGCTGCTGAACTCTGCGGCGCAGACGGGTAACAATGTCACAGTAGGTGTTGCTGTTGACTGTCGCGCCCTGAGGAAGGAAGTCGATGTTCAGGATTCCTTGTGTGGTCCAAATGATCGATGCTAGTTGTTTTCCATGTGTCAGCGCTGGTCGGGCCTTTTTCGGAGGACTGTCGTAATGTCTCGATTGCTTGGACTGTTGTTTCTTCTGGGGTATGGCATAGCTGAACCACGACTCATCACCAGTCAACAGACAAGCAAAAAATTCCGCTGGATCAGCATCATTAAGTGCAAGCTCTCAGTCCGAGCGTGTTTCTGTTGCTGCGCCAGGTTGTGGGGAACCCATTGTGGACACAGCTTCGTCAGTTACAGATCGTCTCGAATAATCGAGTGAACTGCCGCTAGACACAAACCCGTCTCTTCCTGCATTTGCTCTACGGTCACATTTCTGTTTTGCATGAAGAGAAACTCGATGGCCTGTAGTTCGCAAGTGAACTATACCACCGAGCGATCGGCGCTTGTCGGCGAAGTTAGTGCCAACTTTAGCAGATGGGGGGTGTCGCGTGGTCAGCGCAACGGATCCCCATGGCCGTTAATCTCGGTTTTCTACACCAGAGCCGCTATTTCCTTGAAATGACTCCTCAGTTATCCTCACGAGGCTGAGTGGACCCCGTTCCAGACCCACTACTTCTCAGAAAATCTGGTAGAACCAGGCATCGACCCTGGGACCTCTGGATCTATAGCCAGGAACTGTGACCACTAGACCACAGAGACATGATCAGCTCGGAAATTCACTGAATCATGTTCGAAGTGCAGTGACGTTCTCGGCCGCCCGCTGCTTACTCGCTTCACTGCCCTTTCGTTCCCGTCCAGATATTACGTGGTGATCTTTTGTCAGAATCATTTTACTTTTTTACGACAATTTTGTAGGAATTTTTCTGCCATGCATACTACATGTCGCACCCGTCACATCCTACGTCATTTGATGATGCTAATAATATTTCATTACGTGTGCAAATCCTGACGCTCCTCATTATGCAGTTTCCTGCAACCTCCTGTCAATTCCACCCAGATGTTCTCCCCAGAACCCTGTTTTGTAACACCCTTAACGAGAGCGGCGCAGTTGCGTGCAAAAGGTCATTCGAAATCATGGTTTTGAATATTTTCATTCTTCATTTTTGAAGAATTTTGTCGTTAGGGACGTAACGCTAAACGGTCCGGTAAAAGTCAACCGCCGTTTCGGAGGAATATACCGCCTCCGTCGTCATGCTCGAGGAGTATGTCAAGAAAACGGAAAGCCAAAAGATTGCCATCCGAATGGTAGCAAGCATTCCTCCAATTTAATATACTCTTCACTTCTTCAGAACTGAAATTTTTATGTTATTTTGTTACTGTCGTTCCCAAATATCTGAATTTCGCTGTGCTTTCGAAGCTTATTAGGTGACCATGTTATCAACTATTATTAAAAATTAAAGGTAAACCTAACCCTGTAACATGCCTTGGAGGCCCATACGGATGTGAGATGTCGAGGCTCCCACATTTTCTAGACAGACGGCTCACAGGTGGCGGTGAGGTTGTCGGCCTTATGTACAGGCCACCTTTTTTTTTTCCTTCCTTGGCACTACAGCCCCAGTGGGCCTAGGCCTACCTCCATGAACTTTCTCCGTTCACTTCGGTTTTTCTAGATCTTACACATTCGGTAGGACTCCTTGGGCGGGTGATCAGCTCGTCGCTAGGCCTCTACCTGTACACAAACACAGAAAAACGCACACACACAAACTAAACATCCATGCCCTGAGTGGGATTCGAACCCACGATCCCGGTTTCTAAGCGAGCAAAGAGAGTACATGCCTTAGACCGCTCGGCTACCGTGACCAGCACCGGCCACCGTTTACCCCCCGCCCCAAAATCCCTGGTGCTCATTTCTGTTAGAGGCTGAGTCGAACCCAGGACCCTAGTGCGGCTGGAAGGATTAGATTATTTGAGAGACCAGTAACCTCATCGGGACTCGAACCCGGGACCTTCCGGCTTGTAACACCAACCAACTACGCTACCACTTGCCCCTTATCAACGATTCTTACATGATGTAATCCCACCCCACTAGCAATAAAAAAATGGTAGGGTGCGGTTGTGTTTCAGATCTGTACTTTGTACGATGCGGTACTGTGTGACAAGAACCTAAGTAGTTGTACCTTCAAGACTGTCCCTACGAAATGAACCGTAACTCTTTCAATGATTGTTGTTCGACTAACATATTTAATACACTCTATTTGCCTATTCGCCGGTCACGGTAGCCGAGCGGTCTAAGGCATGCACTGTCTTCGCTCGCTCGGAAGCCGGGATCCTGGGTTCGAATCCCACTCAGGGCATGGATGTTTGGTGTTTGTGTGTGTGTGTGTGCGTTTTTCTGTTTGTGTACAGATAGACGCTTTGCGACGAGCTGATCACCCGCCTAAGGAGTCCTACCGAATGTCTTAAGATCTAATAAACCGAAGTGAAAGGGAGAGTTTCATGAAGGTAGGCCAAGGCCTAAATTGGGTCTGCAACGGCAAAGGAAAGAAAAATGCCAATTCAACACAAAGGAATCCACAAAGTCGAAGCTGTAATTTAGCTGTAAGTTTTTTTTCCTGTACTTAAATTAGTCAAGCACTATGCCATGAAGATATAAGGGGAAATGGAGGTTAGCTCCAACTTTCCTGACCTCCGCATGAGATGGAAGTGAGTGGTCAGCTACACGCCCCTTGCCACTTTACCTTCGGGGGAAGCAGCCCTAATTGTGTAGGAGGTTGGGTGGGCCACAGAGCCGGTCTGGACGTTGTGGAGAAGAGAAGAGTCTCTTTCCTCTGCCGGGAATCGAATCCTGACCGACTAGCACGCAGCCCGTAGCTATACCGACTCCTGTCAAGGTCCGGATGAGAAATAAAATCCCAGGATAAAGCCCAAAGGTATGTGCTGTCCAACGGGGCTGCATCTTGTGTAAAAAAAAATGCAGACTACACACCTTTTCTTATCTTTTGACTATTCTGTGTGTAAGAACCAACCGTTCTCAAGCTTGTTTTCTTTTTTCTTTTTTTCAAATTATTCAGTTTCGTAATCGTTTTTTACACAGTTGGTAGGGCTTCTTAGAAGAGTGATCAGCCCGTCGCAAGCCCTCTACCTAAACACAGGAAAACAAAATAAACACAGACCAGACATCCATGCCTCAACTGGGATTCGAACCTACAATCCCAGCGTCCGAGCGAGCGATGACAGTTCATCCCGTAGACCGCGCGGCTACTGTGAGCGGCTAGCAAGCTTGTACCAACAAATAAATAAAACAAGCGTTAACGCCGTACTTACCATTCCGTTAAGTGCGGGACAGCCAATAGTGTTTCGAGTATCAGGTATTGCGACTGGACCTGTAGACAAAACGAATATTCAATTAGCGTATTTCTAACGAACATGAAAGTCGAAGTATTCCATCAATAACAGCCACGGAACACTGTATATTTATTTAAAAATCCTGAGTCTACCGTATAACAGAGTTGTCTGTTTTCAACAGCACAATACACACTGAAGATAATAAACGTCACTATTCTTATCAGAAACTTATCTTCAGACTTAAGCGTAATCTTATTGTGTACTAGCACTAGGTGGCCCTTTAATCATAACAACTCTTAGCTTGCACAACACACGAATCACGCACTGCTGTCGTGACACAGTGCAGACCGTAATCTCCAAGCACGACGAGCTCATCTTATCTTCGACACGACGCTATTCATCAATGTTGTCGCCATTGCATACTTGATCTGTTTCAAGGACACTGCCTCTATCCTTTGGTCTGTAAATATGACGAAAGAATTTAATTTAAGATACGGAGTTTTCACGACGACTGGATACACAAAAATCTTCTATGAGAGTCAGTCATATCAAAGATAAGAAACCAGCGCTTCCGAGATCTGCCCTGTTACCACTCATCGCTGACTTCAAATATGTGTTAGCAACCAGCGCTTCTGAGATCTGCTCTGTGTCACTTCTAAGATGAGTTAGAAATCGGGCCTTCTGAGATCTGCTCTGTATCACTCATCAGAGACTTCTAAGATGAGTTATAAACCAGTGCTTCTGAGATCTGCTCCGTGTCACTTCTAAGATGAGTTAGAAACCAGGGCTTCTGAGATCTGCGCTGAATCACTTATCAGGGACTTCAAACATGAGTTAGAAATCAGCACTTCTGAGACCCGTCCTGTTATCACTCATCACTGACTTCAAAGATGAGTTAGAAACCAGGGCTTCTGAGATCTGCGCTGGATCACTCATGAGGGACTTCAAACATGAGTTAGAAATCAGCGCTTCTGAGACCCGCCCTGTTATCACTCATCACTAACTTCAAAGATGAGATAGAAACCAGTGCTTCTGAGATCTGCTCTGTATCACTCATCACTTACTTCTAAGATGAATTAGAAACCAGCGCTTCTGAGATCTGCTCTGTGTCACTTCTAAGATGAGTTAGAAACCAGCGCTTCTGAGATCTGCTCTGTATCACTCATCAGGGACTTCAAAGATAAGAAACTAGAGATTCGGAGACCTGCATAATGCAACAGAGACTTCAAACAAAGATGAGTTACAAATCATGGTTTCGGAGACCCGATCTGTCTCCATAATAAGCGACGTCGAACTTGGGTTTAAAAAAAACTCTGTCAGAGGCCTGTTCCAGCACCATCCGCAGGAATGCCGAGATAAAAACCAAACTCTTCGAGGCCTGCCCTGTCTTCACAATCACAGGCGTCAAAACATAGTTCAAAACCAAAGTTTCGGGAGCCTACTCTGTTTCAGACATTAGGGACGTTAAAGTGGAGTTAAAACCCAGCGTTTCGAAGACACTGTTATACAGAGTGTCCCAGGAGGAATGTGCCAAACTTCGGGAGGGGGGTCGTTATGTTAAAGTATGCCGATGTTATGGCGCAAGGGTTATGTACAAGTAGATATAGTTTTTGGGGTAAATTTGGAGTAGGTGTATCTAGACTTTAAGATTAAGAAATAGAAAAAATGAAACGTACCAGGAAGCTTGGGTTTGCAAAGAACTGTAACAGGCAATAGCTTAGTAATAAGAATGCTAGCACGGCAGCGTAATAACGCTGACATTGAGGAAGAAGCTATATGAAGTAGGTCATAAACACTATGGCAGGAGGAAAACGCTGAGTCGGAGAGGGCGGTAGACCTGAAAGAGCCAACCCGATTTCGATAAACAGCCAATGAGTGGGCCACACCAACCCAAAATCACGTCAGAATGGGCGGGCCAATACACCCCGGAACCCCGCGAGTCAGCAAAAAGAGGGTACATAAACTATAGAGGAATCAATCGAAAAACTTTTGACTTTTGAATATTATTAATTGATACAGAGTTCAGCCGAAGGCTATCGCCGAGAGGGTGATGGCGAGCGCCTGTTTCCTCAGCTCACGTAAGGAGACTTACCTCATATAAGCCATGAACATTAAGTGTGATATTATTATAGTGCAAAACCCAGGAAGAGAAAGTGAAAACANTAAATGGACTAAGTTACAGAGAAAGCGAGACAGAGGGGGGATACCCCAGAGCAGGGTGACAGGATGGAACTAATGTGTGTACTATAGGGTCATAATCAAATGTAATGTGAACCGACAAACGTCGGCAAAGTGTGTATATATTATGTATATAGCGACATAGGTGAATAGAGTAGGATAGGAATGCGCTGTGATATTAATTAAACCTAGCATTCCCTCAAGTGTTATCCTCTTCCCTGCCGACTCCATTCAGCACCTCCCGAAGCTTCAGAGACATGCGAGTTAAAGCCAGGACCAGTGACGTCACCGATCGATAACTTTACCGCAGTTTATCTTGACATAACAAGATGGTGGCAGCATATTAA